GTCTGATACACATTAGTAAGGGTCCCTTGACAGAACTTATTTTTTAAAGTCTCGACCCCGGAGCTGTTTGAGTATCAGCCTGACCTCCTGCACCAGCTGGTCACCATCATGAACCCCAACATCCTCATGTCTCACGGCGTACCGGTCAGTCTCACACACACGGACACACACGGACACACACACACACACACACACAGACACACACACACACGGACACACACACACACACACACACACACACACACACACACACACACACGGACACACACACACACACGGACACACACGGAAAGACACACACACACACGGACACACACGGACACACACACGGACACACACATGGACACACACCACACGGACACACACACGGACACACACAATATAACAGAAGTAATATTGCTGCAGCCTCCCCCTCCCTCTGGAACTCCCTTCCCGGTCACATCTGAAAATCCGGCACTCACTTATTCACCCCCCCACTTTACTCACACTTAGATTAGGAATACTGTTCATGGTTTTTGTACAGTTTTTTTTCTGATTTTATGTAAAGCGTCTTCCCATGTATTATTATTATTATTATTATTATTAAATATGGTTAGTAAAGAAAGTTCTCTTTGATTGACGTGTGTTTCTGATCTGCAGGTTGTTCGTACGAACCAGTGTGCGGGAGAGTTCGTCATCACGTTCCCCAGAGCGTACCACAGCGGCTTCAATCAGGGATACAACTTTGCTGAAGCTGTTAACTTCTGCACTGCAGACTGGGTACGGCTGTTTCAAGTTTACACACTTTTTCAGATATTTGATGAAGTTTTTACATTTTCTACTTAACTGTAAAAATACTCCTGAATGATCGGAAGATTTACTTAAGTCAAAGTAATCATCAAAATATAGTTACTGTGTTAAACAAAGAGCCCATTACACGTTACAGAAACATCTCAAATAAAGACAAAATGTTTTCTCTATCGGCTAATTGATGAATGGACTAAACTGCTTTGCTATGAAGTCATTTTAATTTATAAAAAAACATATATTATAAACTTTTGTGCTCCGTAGAATAAAATACTATAAAAAGATCAAATATAAATATTCAAACAAACACAATTAGTTAAATTGTGCATTAAGGAGATAAAATAAAAAGATGATGTATACATAAGAAAAAAAAACCTGCATATTTATATAAACATTTGGAGTTAAAGTACAAGTGGCACATCGTAATATATTAAAAATAACGACAATATAATGTATTTTAAATGTGTTTATTACAATATATACATACGTGTATTAGTGTTAATAAAGACACAAACGCTGAAGCTTAACCAGAAGCTAAAGCTGTTAGATAAATGTAGGATGTACGACCTTTTTGTCGTCCAGTAGCCGTTTTAAAGTTCCTCAAATGTGCATTTTAGCACCGTAGTTGTTCATAGTTAAATTCCACCAGTGCATTTTTCACATTACTACATACTGATCTCTCTCTCCTCTCTCTCCTCTCTCTCTCTCTCTCCTCGCTCTCTCTCTCTCTCTCTCTCAGCTGCCTGCCGGTCGCTCCTGCATCGATCACTACCGGCGCCTCCGGAGGTATTGTGTGTTTTCCCACGAGGAGCTCACCTGTAAGATGGCCGCCACGCCGGAGAAGCTGGACCTGAACCTGGCAGCAGCGACGCACCGCGAAATGTTCAGCATCGTCCAGGAGGAGAGGAAGCTGCGCAAGGGACTCATGGAACGGGTGAGACACAGAAATACACCGTATTCAATCAATCAATCAATCAATCAATCAATCAATGACTTTATTAATCCTGCAAGGGGCAATTGGTTATGAGCAGCGCATGTCATGTACACAGGCAGGAACATACAGGGAGAAAGCACACCTGGATGTGGATCATTCCAATTTACACCATAAATAGTTCATAGCATCACAACAAATAGGTAAATAAATAATCAAGTTAAAAAAAAACTATCAACAATTTAAAAGTTTGAGTGCAGAGGGGATGAATGATTTTGAAAAGCGATTTGTCTTAAGAGCAGGTAGAGCGTATCCTTGGTAGGCCTGGCTCACTTTATGCAGCGTTTCCATTACCGTTTAGGAACTGGGGTAGTAACTATAGTAACGCAGTGTAGGTGGAGCCGTGACGTCATCTTCAATGAGAACCACAAAACCAACATTAGCTGTTAGCACCTCAGAGCTCACAGCTCCTCATATCTGTTCAGGAACTAGACAAAAGTTAAACAAGTACAAACCACAGACTGTCTGTGTCATGAGAATACAGTCGCTGGTTTATTTATGTCTGTAGGCCGTTGTTGTGAGTGTGGACGGTCGGAGCATATACTGCGTTAGTCTAACCGGTATCAGTATGTTGTTACTTCGGCATCATTTTGAAACGTGTATTACAATTAAATCACGGTCAAATATGTTCATCTTGTTGTAGTTGTAGCCCCCTTGCCAGCGATTCTCTCTGACCAATCAGTAGTCGAGAGTGTTTACGTCACTAGTTTAGCTTATTCAGCCCGGGAAGAACCTGGATTTTGGAGGGCCAGAAAAAAGGTGAAAAAGTAGCCCTGGCCCAGAACTACCCCTAGTGGAAAAGCAAAAAAATAAATAAACGGGCCGGGTTTGGCACGACACGCTTAAACCGTGCTACGCGCTGCAGTGGAATTGCGCCATTTGTTTATTTATATTATAGGGCTGTAGTGAAAGCTTCTATACAGGCTTCTTATGAAGGTTCCACCACTTTTTTATGATGTCTACACGGCCACTACTGGAATTCATTTAAAAAAATAATGCAATACTTATTGTTTAGATGGTTTTGTATATGCTACTTTGCAAAAAAACAGTGTAACATGGTATGAATACACATGCAAAAAAAAGCTGCAAAACATTCAATTTAATGTTTATTTATAATACAAAAGCCACGGTTATGAATGCAGCTTCAAACTATTTGCTTCATCCCTACTTTAGGAATTTATCTGTTATCATGCAAAATGCACTTTCATACATCAATATGTGTCCCCGGTGTGTCGGGGAACTCACGCAGCGTCAGAAAATAAAACCCTCTCTCTTTTCCTCCGTACCCAAAATAAAACCCTCTCTCTTTTCCTCCGTACCCAAATCTCTAAAAACGGGGAACAACGGAGCTGATCCAGATTTGCGTCCGATATGACGTAATATCTGAAATGTGGACCCACGGCCCTATCAGAAACGTTGCTATCAGAAACAATGCCCGACTGTTTTGGACGTAATATGGTCTTTGTTTACATTAGCATCGCTAACACTCAGAGCTAACCTGTACTGGAGAGCATGTGTGTGAAGAAGCAGGAAATAAAAAGGAACTCACCTTGTGGTATAACCGGCAAGAGAGAAAGCCTTTGAGCTCCATACTGTTTCAGAGAGAATCCTTGATAATCCATGATATGGAGTTTCATCACGGCAGCATTTAGTTTAGACAGTAGCTGCCGGGTCCCGCATGAGCTCAGACCCCTCCTTTTTTTTCTATTTTTTAAAGCTTCATGCCCAAAATCAGCACTTTTGAAACTCTGACTGATTATAATCTGTGTTGCTCCTGCAGGGCATCACTGAAGCCGAGCGTGAGGCGTTTGAGCTTCTGCCCGACGACGAGCGTCAGTGCGATACAGGTAAAACCACCTGCTTCCTCTCCGCTCTCGCCTGCTCCAACTGTCCCGAGCGCCTCGTGTGTCTCTACCACACTCAGGACCTGTGCAACTGCCCCACGGAAAAACTCTACCTCAGGTACGCTTCTCCCGAACAGCGGTGTGCAAATGCTTTCTTTCTAGTTTGATCTCAAGTGTCGGTGTTAACTCCCTCATGTTTCCCCGTCACCCTGCAGATACAGATACACCCTGGACGAGCTGTTAGCCATGTTACACAGATTAAAGGTCCGCTCAGAGTCCTTTGACTCCTGGGCCAACAGAGTGAAGGAGGCACTGGAGCAGGAGGAAGGAAACAAGATAGGTGGGAAGTCAACACACAAGAACTGTACATTTCAGAGATTTTGATTTGTCAGCATGTCTGTATATATCGTTACTTGTGTGTCTGATCTCTATCAGTGTTAATTTTGTCAGCTATTTTTGATTTAGTCTTAGTCTTTAAATGGAAATGATTGTTAGTTTTAGTCACATTTTAGTCCTTTTTATCCTTCTTAGTTTTAGTCTAGTTTTAGTCGATAAAAAATCATAACATTTTAGTCAACTTTTAGTCAAAATGTTTCCGCTCTTCAAACCAATTCAGTTTTGCAAATACAGGTTTCTGAAATTGGAATCACGGTGACAGCATCAAGTGTTGAAATTCGTAAAGCAACCTTTCACTCTCTTAACACTTTACTTGTGTAATATCTAGGGACGGGTATCGTTAAGTTTTTTAACAGTACTACTACTCTTAAAAA